TTAAAAAAAATTAAAGGGGCTTGCGCATTTAGTGTAGTTTAGAGCATGACACAGCCCAGCGATAGTTTTTGATCAATATGTTTTACTAGCTCTTCTTTAGAGAAAAGTCTGAAAACACGACTGGAAAAGGAGGGTGCAGGGAAATCACTGCCTCCAGGGAGGATTTGGCAGTGAGGTATTTGCTCTGAGGCTTGTGCTCAAGGGCCTGCTCAGGCTGGATCTCAAGTGTGGAGATAACCTCTTTGCACGTGGTTACAAACTTCCCAGTGGGAAAAAAACCTGTGTTGCATTTTGTCCATGTCCTGCTCAGAATCAGTCTGCTAGCTCTCCTTCCGCAGCAGAGGAGGAGGTGTCCGAGTCAAAGGACAGATACCATCTATGACAGGCCCTTTTGCGGCTAGCCTTGCACAGGGCTTTGAGCCCCCTAGAAATTTCTCCTTTTGATTAGTCTCTTGTAGGCTCACACTTCCGCAGGCCAGGGGATGGGGATTCACTGCCAGTTTCCTGCCTCAAGCTGTGAGGAAGGGGTGCTGATTGTGAGCTCTGCTTCTATCCCCAAGGCACTTTGGACCCATGTCAGGATGTGGGGTGGGGCCAGAAGCCTTGTCCTTAAGGTCCTGAATTGCCCCAGGACTCCCCATCCTCCAGGCTGGCTGAATGAAGTCCTTAGAGCCGCTCCCTGTTCTGTTCCATGTCTCCTGGTCATGCTTTTCTGTGGTGGAGTCGCAGCTTCCTGGGGGGATACAGGTCCCAAGCTGCCTGTCCGACCCCAAGCTCCGTGCCCTAGCAGCCCTAGGGTCAGCTGGCTGACAACAGGCAGGGCATAATTTGCCCTCTGTAGAGCCTGTTAAAGCTGCCCAGGGCTGGCTCCAGCATTTCTGCCGCCCCAAGCAGCAAAAAAGAAAAAAAAGTCGCGATCGGCGGCGGCAATTGGAAAAAAAAAAAGCCACGATCGGCGGCGGCAGTTCAGAGGCAGGTCCTTCGCTCCTAGAGGGAGTGAGGGACCTGCCAGCCCTGAATTGCCGCAGGTGCCGCCCCTCTCCCTTGGCCGCCCCAAGCACCTGCTTGTTAAGCTGTGCCTGGAGCCGGCCCTGAAGCTGCCTCACAAGATGGAGCCCCTTTTGGGGTCCGCTGGGAGCTTGCGCGGCTGCTCTGCCATCCCTGAAAGCTGGCAGAGGTGCTTGAGCCACATGCTGCTAAATACCTGGTCCAAGAGGAAGAGAGAACAAAGCAGGCTGCTACCGACTGCCCTAGAACAAACCCCGCAAAAGGCAAAGAAAAGGTCAGGAGCCCAGAGGCCCACCTCTGATTGCCCCGGGGACACAGAACTGGCAGCAGGCCAGATACAGGCTGCGCTACAGCTTTGAACTGCCGACAGGAAGGGAATAGCCCCTATGTAGCAGAAACGTGGGGGCCGCTGGACTGCAGAAACAGGAGCAAAGCCAGCCGCAGGACAGGAAACACCAGTTGCCAGTGGGCCCTGACCTGTCATTAAGAGCAGACGTATTGGGAAACTAGGTGGCTGGGCAGCACATGCAAGGCTGGAAGAGTACAGGTCAGCAGGAAAGCATACGGAGAGGAAGAGACACCTGAGACCAAGCACTAGAACAGCAGTTCTCAAACTGTGGGTCGGGGACCCCAAAGTGGGTCATGACCCCATTTTAATGGGGGCACCAGGGCTGGCTTAGACTTGCTGGGGCCCAGGAGCCCTGGGCATCGGGACTCAGGTTACAGGCCCCCTGCCTGGGGCTGAAGTCCTTGGGCTTCATGGCTTCAGCTTTGCCCCCCTCCCCGACCAGGGGCTCAGACTTCAGTCCCCCTTGCTGGGGTCACGTAGTAATTTTTATTGTCCAAAGAGGGTCGTGGTGCAATGAAGTTGGAGACCCCTGCCCTAGAGAAGCACATGTATGGGAGTAGGAGTCAGAGATGGACAGTAGAAAGAGAGCAGAGATGAAATGAGTGGCAAGAGAAGATGGTGGGATCAGGTTTCACTCCCCAAAGCAGGGCAGATCACATGTATTGCATTTCAGTTATGTTAGCAGCTAGTGTTGCTGCAGCAGGGATGTTGTGTGATAGACATGGGAGGGAAAGTGGTCCATTCATAGGAGGAAAAGTGGTCTGTGGAAGGTTATTAAGATGCAGCCCATGCTCTGAAGAAGTTTGAGCATGCCCCTCCCTAGGCTACACTGGGATCATCCAGTAGCAGTTTTTCAGAAGAGAAACAAAGATCTCTTAGCCTAATGCTCAGCATTTGGAGGTAGGAGATCCAAGTTTTGTCCCATCTGTCACAGGCTTCCAGTGTGACTCTACTCAAGACAAGCTCCAAGCCTGGATTCCTGAAAGGGATGAAAGCAGTCCAGAGTACTAGCCCAAAACTCAATTCCTAGGGTAGAAAGCAAGATAAGTCAGTTTTAGATAAAACAACTGAATGAAGATTGCACATGACGTTTTTCTGCATGGATCTTGATACCAATCGCTTTAGATCTATGTATAAAATTCAATTTTACATGAACTCCTCTAAGCATTCCTTTAAACTGCTTTTCCCTTACTTACAGCTTGCCAGTTCCTTGGTTCCTTTATTCGGTCTTCAATGGACTCAGCTCAGTTGCTGTCAGTAGTAATGGTTTGTTTTGTGCAATTGTTCTGCTTTTTCTCATGCTCTTGTTTGTGATCATCTCAATTGCTCTCTCTAAATGGAAAATGAACAAACTATTAGGGCTCACCATGTTTGCTCTTTACTTTGTATTTTTGATCATCAGTGTGATGCTAGAAGAGAGAATCATATCCTGCCCAATATCTGTCTGAGGCTTGGGTGTAACTACCATTTGGGCCGCACAAGACGATGTGATCCCATATACAGTATGTGTAAATGAACTTGAAAATGGGTTTAAGGTAGTTATATTTTACTTACTTAAACCAATTGTAAGCTTATTGAAAACTGTAAAAACTAAGCTTAGTGAAACTTAAATTCAAATAAAGATTTCTATTAATATATTTATATGCATTAATATATATTTAGGCCCCAATCCTGCAAAGACCCACACAGGTGTTTAAAATGTTATGCACTGCAAGTAGTCCTGTTTCATTTTATTAATTCAAGACCGAGGCTCTGCCCACTTGTAGTCATTAAAGATCCCAGGCAATTTTTGCAGGAGTCAGAGTATTATTAGTCTTTTGCGGAATCAGGGTCTAAATTATTAATGAAAGGGCCTGATCCTAAATCCACTGAAGTCAGTGGAGCTTTGTCAATGGGTGTGGGATCAGACCCTGATGGTGAAATTTAGCCCTGTGGAGAGAGCCAGTGTTGATCTTCTTACATCCCCAAAATAGGGCTTAAGTGGGATGTAAGTGTAGAACAGGCCTTGAGTTGGTCCCTCTAAACAGAGGGAAATTTCACCCTAAACTCTTTGGAGAAAGAGCAATAAACTGATTTCTGTGCTCAGTGGGAAAAGCATTTACCAGTTACACAGCAATCCTGAAGAATATGCACTCTGCCACATTATAATTAAGCATCTAATTCTGCAATGTGATCCCTAAACTCATGGTGAAGTCCTACATAAACCAGAGGGACTCCATGTGGATCTAAGAGTCCATTGGTACAGTTTGCTTTGCAGGATTCAGGGACTAGGAGAGCACACTGCAAACCAGTAAAAGATAAAGAGAACACGAAGTGAAACTGTTATAAAAAGAGGAAGCTGAAATGATCTTATATTGCTTTTCACCCCCTGAAAGTGACTGTATTCAACTCCTGTTAGCACTAATGTGTTTTGCATAATTGTGTCATATGAAGAAATGCTAATTGCCATCCACCATTATCAATTAGCATGTATGGTTTAAAGTTACCAATGCCTCAATTAAACCAGCAAAGTGATGAGAAACTATAGATGCTTCTGTCATTCTTAAACCATTTAATAAAATTTAAATGAACATAACCATACTGAGAACTTTAGCTTTTTATTTACTTGTAAAACTTTGAACTTTTATTCTTTTGGATGAGACAAAAAGTTTATCATTGTGAACAGTGACCTATATATTTTAAATGAATTACAAAACAAAATAAACATCCAACAAACTGATGTTCTTTTTGGTAAATAAAATTTAAACGTTACATATTTACAAATCTACAACCATTCATTTAAAAAGTGCTGTTTGCAAACTAACAAAGTACCATTTTAAAATCCAGATGAGAATATTATTATATCTAGAAATACCCCCTCTCTGAAATTAAAATTTGTACCTTCCATTTGTTATAATCAATTTCTGCATGCAAAATCTTTGCCTTTCTTTCTTTGGGGTAGAAATCATTTCATTTGTCCGTGGAAATTTAAGAAATCATTTTATCATAACTGTACCAAGAGCAAACCTAATGGCAGTGGGCAGTATTTAACAGTCACAGAGAAAAATTTCCACTTCTAATAGCATCTCATTATTCCATTCCTAACAGTATTTCCCCCCCCCCCCCTCTGCTGCTATGGTGGAACAAGAGAAAAGCATGGTATATATTGCACTGAAATGTAAAACACTTATTTAAAGTTAATGGAAAGAAGCACTATATAGCACACACAATATTTTACAATTTTTAAAATTGAAAATATATTCCAGAAGTACTAGAAAACATATTCATCCTAGCAGTACTGGAAAACATAATCAAAATGCTTTTTTAATAAAGGACAGTGAAGGCTGAAAATTATTTCAATATTGGATTGTATGATGCTTAAAAACTTTCCACCTTCAGGATCTGCATTCTGACCACCACATTATAACAATCTGAATGAGGAGAATTTCTCATTCATCTAAAAATATATCAATTTCTCAGATATTTTATATTTCACAAACAATCTGGAAAAAGGGATAAATAATGAGGTGGCAAGGTTTGTAGATGATACAAAATTACTCAAGATAGTTAAGTCCAAAGCAGACTGCGAAGAGTTACAAAGGGATCTCACAAAACTGGGTGACTGGGAACAAAATGGCAGATGAAATTCAGTGTTGCTAATTGCAAAGTAATGCACTGGAAAACATAATCCCAACTTTACATATAAAATGATGGGGTCTAAATTAGCTGTTAACCACTCAAGAATCTTGGAGTCATTATGGATCATTCTCTAAAAACATCTACTCAATGTGAGAAGCAATTGAAAAAACTAACATTAGGAACCATTAGGAAAGGGATAGATAATAAGATAAAAATATCATAATGCCACTATATAAATCCATGGTATGCCCACACCCTGAATACTGCATGCAGTTCTGGTCATCCCAGCTCAAAAAGATGTATTAGGAATGGAAAAGAAAAAAAGAGAAGGGCAACAAAAATGATTAAGGGTATGAAACAGCTTCCATAGGAGGCGAGATGAAAAACTCTGGGACTCTTCAGGTTGGGAAAAAAAGAGATGACTAAGGGGGATCTGATAGAGGGCTATAAAATCATGAATGGGGTGGAGAAAATGAATAAGGAAGTGTTATTTACCCCTTCACATAAAACACAAGAACCCGGGGTCATCTAATAAAATTAATAGACAGCAGGTTGAAAACAAACAAAAGGAAGTACTTCTTCACACAACACACAGTCAACCTATAGAACTTGTTGCCAGGGTATATTGTGATGGCCAGAAGTTAAAACTATAACTGGACTAAAAAAAAAAAAAGAATCAGATAAGTTCATGGAAGATAGCCATTGATGGACCTATTAGCCAAGATGGTCAGGGAAGCAACACTGGATGTCCCTAAGTCTTTGACTGCCATAAACTGGGGCTGAATGACAGGGGATGGATCACTTTATAATTGCCCTGTTCTGTGTATTGCTTTTGAAACATCTGGCATTGGCCACTGTCGGAAGACAGCATACTTGGCTAGATGGACCATTGGTCTAACCCAGTATGGCCATTCTTATGTTATAATGTTTCTATAGTTGACTGACTTGCAACAGGTTTTGCCAAAGGAGTATTTAAAAGTTAAGTGTATAATGATTTAATTTGATAAATAAAAACTACATGGTATATTAATGTAAAGCAAGCACAACTAAACATCAGCAACCTTTAAGAAATGCAGTCTTAAGAGGGCAAGGGCACACTAAGATTGCTTGCCTGAAATAATGAGACATATACAAGATTTTTATGGTACATTATGTGCTTTCGATATAATACTGAAGGGACTTTTCATATCTGCAGAAGCTGGCGAACTTGTTTGGTCTTCTACAATTAAGGTGGTAGAAAGTACTCATAAGCAAGCTGGGTTAAAGGATTGGGCTATGGATTAAATATGTTGATATTCTCTGCTGGCACAAGTGCATAGTTGCAACATAATGTCATCAAATGAGACTTGGTGTGGAGACCAGACTCAGATACTTGTGCCAGTACAGGTTAACTGCTCAATCTAAAACATGAAGCCTGCCTCATAGCTTTCCAAGTACCTCTAGAACACCAATGACAGCTCTGGAGAAACAGCTTGTTCTCCTTCATGGCTATTGGGTACTATAGAATGGTGATTAGCAAGTAGTAGTAACTGTAATAGGAAATAGGATTTAAAGAAAGTGGTATAACACTGCATTATACACAGCACAAATATGTAGGTAGTTATTTACATACTTGGCAACTATTGTAGGTAACTTTTACTTGGTAAATACAGTGTAACTACAGCAGAGCATGCATACATGTCACTAGGTATTTACAATGAGTAAGCTCAAAAGTAATGACCATGTATTCCGCACGCTGGTTTTGATGACTGAGTTGAGCATGTTGGCAGCGTATTTATCATGTATTGTAACTGATGATTAATATGGTAGTTTTACAACATCAGGGGGGAATACTTTTTAGAAAATGTGGGCACTACAAAATAAAGCATCACAAATGTTTAAAATAATTAAGCATGTGAAAACTGGTGGGAAATGTAACGTTACTATCTCCACCTAAAGAAAAAAAAACCTACACAGTTAGCAGCATCTTAGAAAAGAGGCATTGTTCAATGAAAGCTATATCCAAAAAGACCAAACGTGGGGCAAGATGTATTTTGCATGTAACATTAAGAGTAAACTGCCGCTCTTGACATTTTAAAACAGTCTGCTTAGGGCAGCATCCCCTTACTCTTTTGAAGAGGGATTGGTAGGTGCTTTAAAATAACCCTCTAAAGGTCTAATCATATTTCCATTAAATAATAATAATGACATCACTAGAATCTTTCAATTTACTTCAGTGGAAACAGGATGGAGTCCTCACTGCCCCTCGTTAACTCTGACAAGATGGCAGGTGCGAGTGTCTGGGGCTATGCAGAAAACTCCCATAAAAAGGTATATTTAGCTTTTCCATCTAGGTAAATATCACAGTAGGATTGCTCTTGGAAATTAGAAAGGTTGAGAGATGTCTGCAGGCAAGCAAACCCAAACCTGTCTCTCAAAGCTTGAAAGAGTATCTTCTCCATCTCCAATGCTGCAGGGTGGTAGGAAAAAGAACATGCACATAGAACCTCTGATATTTTATACATAAAACCTGCTTTCTGGTGTGTAGCTGCTGTGAATGAGTGCGTAACATTTTCTGAAATTTCTAGAACGTCAAAGCATGAGCCAGAAGTCATGACTCCAAGGTGGAGAGTTATGCAGCACTATTTTCTTTACAGAGCCGAAGTTACTGTGTTGCCTGGGAAATACAGGATCAGTCATTACAAATATACCTTATTACGTACAGCATATCCCAATGGATTAAATTCCCTATATATTTCATGTAGCATATTTTCTTATTTAAAAAAGAGTGTAACTTTGGACCACAATGAATTAAGTGCCATGTTTAGGGCATTTACAAACATACCTACACCTCCATATACAGGACTGTACACTATACATTTTATGTGGAACTATTTTTGTAAGCTATTTGCTATACATCTTGTAATATATACCCATAGATATATTAAATTAGTAAATGCCAACAGCTAAAAAGCGTTGGATCTCCTTAAAGTAAACGGTGGGATCCTTCAATGTATTACAGAATTTTGTGGGGGACTTCTACAGAAAGAAAGATACTATAGAGTCAGAGTGTTAATAACCATATTTTTACACAAGTTTGCCATACTTTTCATCCGATTCCAGTGGTGGTACATAATTCTGTGTGTGCAAGAGAAATACTGGCCCCAGAATGTTACCTAGGACAGTGCTGAAATTATAGACCACTTCAAAAGCAAATTATTTTTTCAAATCCTAATTGGACCAGTTACTATAAATAGCAGAAAAAAATGAGCACTGTATTGCTTATGCAATAAGTTCATTAAAATTCACTAGAGTAATTTAAAAAATTAAAAAAATATCAACTTACTATAAACAATTTAAAATATGTATAATACAACTTTGTATGCGCTTCATAATATTTTGAATATTCTATGTAAACAGATTTGCAGAATTTACTTCACTCTTGCTAGTTTCAGTGCATCATTTTTGTCTGCCTCTCCCAAGTTTTCTTTAAAGGACTGTAAAATGTTGTCCCTTGTTAGAGAACTGATTTAGTTTACGGTCGCCTACTCCACAAAATGATTTGCAGAGAGAAGCAAGGAGAGGAAAGTAGTATTTGGCCCCTTCTTTGCTCATTGTCCATTTTTGTACCTACATAGGCCCAATTTTTTCCAGTCTTCTGACACAGTACATTTGTAAATATGTTTTCAAACACTGAAGACCGAGATGTTCTTTGTGACTTTACACACGTATACAATTCATTAAAATAAATATATATATATATATATTTTAAAGATATGGTTCTCCAAAAATCTTTCGGCATTCCATCACTCCAGTACTTGGCGGTCTATCGCAGTTGTGAGTACTCTTGACCTGATTAGCTGTGAGACGATCATAGGCCATTTTGTACTCTCTGTCAAAAGCATCTGCAGAAATAAAAAGAAAATCTATGTATTGTACCATACTTATACAGATGCTAAAATAGGGTTACCATCTTTCTAGTTGCTGGTAACCAGATCCCTTAGGCCCCACCCCTGCTCCCTCTCTTCCCCAAGGCCTCGCCCCATCGCTTGCTCCTCCCTGCCCCATCTCTCTCTTTTTTCTCCTCATTCCCTGTCACTTGCTGCCTCCTCTCAAGGAGCCTGCCTGCAGGTGGGAGGCGGTCCCAGCTGAGCAGGGGCCGGCATGGGTTAATGACCCAGCGCATCCCCATGCCCCGTGGTAACTGGACTTTTGGTTTGGGTACTATTTAGAGTTGCCAGGTCCCCTTTCTGACTGGACTTTCTGGTAGAAAACCAGGCACCTGGCAACCCTAAATCACACCCAGACACGGAAGCCAAAAACTGGACTGCCTGGGTAAAACCTGGACCGGTGGCAACCCTATGCCAATAGTATAGTTGTGCCTATTTTCATGAAACAGCTGAAGAGTCCTTGTAACCATACTTTAATGTGTATAAAAATGTAAAAGACACATACTAGGAAAGCATATTATCAGCAGTTTTCATTAACACTGCGCACATTCAAATACACCAAAATAGATATTTTCTCCTTGAAAGCTGAAATAATGGTTTGTATAAACCATTAATCTACATTTACCTTAATACAGTTTATAACTTACCTATATCAATGTTCTCTCTCCCTAGAGCAACAAGGGAAAGAAATAATATTTCTCTATAGAGGCTCCTAAAAATGTAAAAAAAAAAAGCCATTAATTTTCATTCTGAAAGATGGTAGCATTTGTAATCAATACTACAGACAATTCAAAATCATGGCAAAACATAAGTAAACAAACAGGACTTCTCTTAAACACATTGTTGAAAAAAATGCCACCTTGAAAATTATTTATTGAGCCCCTGATCTGTGTTTGGTGCTCAAACATGGAAAATGACAATGTCCCTTTACCTAGGAGTTTATAGGCTAAGGGCCTGATCCAACTCCCAGTGAAGTCACTGGAGTCTGGATCAGACTCTAACTGGAACATGCAGACATGGGACAGACACAAAATATTCCAGCGATAAAAGATATTAGAGACGGTAAAAAAAATTTGTTGTCACGAACTTTTCTGAAGAAAAGTGATTTTTTGAGAGAATTAAAGATTTTCCATGGAAACATTTTGATTCTCTAGGAATGTCCACATTTTTTCTAAATAAAACAAAATCTCATTTCTTTTTTCCCCCCCTTTCCTCTTCTCTCACTTTTTTACCTTCCCCCCTTTTTCCACTGGAAAAGTGAAGGCAAAAAGTTTAAAAGGTGAAATTAAGTAACATTTTTCTCCCTTCTTCAGACTCCTACCTCTATACACCTTACGAGTATAAAAAATGGGAAGAAAAGTAATTAATAAATAAATAATAGAAGGGGGGAGGGGAATAAAAGAAAGTGAGGAAAACCCCACCCCAAAATGAAAACAACAATCAAAGCAAAAACTCTTGAATTTTGTCAAAAAACACCCCAACCCCCCCCCAAACAAAAACAAACAAACAAAACCATAACCCAACCAGCCAACAAATTACTGTAAAATTTGGAATGAAGTTAAGAAAACGAAGGGTTTTTAAAATAAAGCTTTTGCAATAGTATTTTTTTTAAAAACATTGACCATATTTAGTAGATACTCTTGGGAGAACATTGCTGAACACCTTGAAAAGGTTGTGAACCTCTGAACATACTATTCATACTGCGATACCATGCTCATTGCAAAAGCTTGCTTCAATTTGATACATGAGTATTCCTACCTCTGTCTTTTAATCTGTGGCCATTTGTTCAGTCGCTCTAAGATTTGACTCATTGGTCCATAGACATCATTCATCTTAATACTTTTCACCATGCTTCTCAAGAGCTCCTGGTTAAAGGAGTCGTCATCTTTTTGCAATAAATGGACCACTGGATACTTTTGGGCTGCCAAAGAACAGAAACACCATAAGAAGAAGTGTGCTTTTTGTAAGCAGCATGGTATGAGAAAACCAAAAACAATGGAAGGCTATAAAAATGTGGATACACTCAATACATTACCAAAAAAAATAATAATAAAGAAATAAGCGTCAAGTCAGAACAGCATCAGGGTAAAGAAAGAGAACAGGAATATATGAGACAAGCACAAATAAACAGCCATAAATGGGCCTACTGACCATTTGCAGGTCTTTTAGTAGCAATCAAGTACTTAGTTTTTAAAAAAAACCCTCTAAAATAAGAAAATAGGCTAAATGGATGGATTTATTGAAATGTTTTGTACAAACTACTGTATAAGTTTTGTGAATCACCAAGCACAATCCTACTATTCCTTTCTCTCCCATAAAGAAAACACTGACAAGAAATGGTGGCCTACTTATACCAGAAAACAAAACTTGTTGCAGCAGTATGCTGGAAGCTAAAATCTACTTGTAAAACACACACACAGACACACACACCAAATAAATAAATATCACAAAAAAGTTAGCAATAGCAACAAACATAACACTCACTCTCAAACAAAAGAGTACGATTTTGACCTGCAAGACAAAGAAAGTGGTTTGATCAAAAATCAATTGTAAATCTATATAGGATAACTAAAATGAAAAAAGATCTCTTTTCAAAATATGTTTTTTAGTTGCTGAAAATCCAAGCTACTTTGGTTTTCAAATAGACAACTTACTCTGTGCATTCCACAGAATATAGAGAGGCTGTCCTGGATCCTGATGCAACTTCATATTGTCCCATAGCATCTGAATGAGAACGTATTTACTGTCCTCTGACATACAGTTTCGTGGAATCTGAATAGGAAGATTAATACATAAGCCTTTGAATACAGCGATAGTTTATGACTGTTACAACAGCTGACTTTCACAGTTTAACTGATATACATCAGACCAGTAGGTTAGAGGATAACAGCTTTAACCTAAGCCACTGTAAATTGGGCTGTTCATAGCAAAACCACTATTTCCCATTGTAGTCTGGATCCTGGTAATGATGAAAGCCCAGGGCTCTGAAAACAAGGCCTAAAGGGTCTTCCCCTCCTCATCTTTCCACAATCAAACACCTACACACCCTCTAGTCCAGTCAGCTGCTGCCTTTTGTTTTGGTTTTTTTTGGCCATGAAATAATAAAGTCAAAAATGTGAGTTGTGAAGTCCCTTGTAGTTGGAACAGCACACCAAATTTCATTGAAGCTGCCACCAGTAGTGCACTACACCAGCACAGGCACCACTGGGTCAAAGTTCAAGAGTGAAGGTATGGAAATACACTGGCTCAATTAAAGTAAATGGAGCGATAACAATTTACACTAGCTGAGGATTGGGCCCAGTTAGTTGTAAACACTTGCACAAGAGCTATTTTCACATAAGGACTGTAGAATCAGATTAATCACTGAAAGACAAACATTCAAGGCCTCATCATTCAATACTGCCCTATCTTTTTTCATACCTTTGAGTTTTTATTACAGTGTTCAGAAGAAAGTATTAGTCCTGGTAAGTTACTGGGCAAGTCCAGACGCCTGAAATACCACACCAAATTCCAAAACACGATAGGATGATGGTCTACAAAATCTGCCACTGTTATCACACGATCCCCTTCATTTTCAAGCAAGCTTTCAAGCTCTTTCCATACCACTAGAGGACTTAGGTAAGGGACAGTGATTGGGTCAGGACTACATAACCGCCATTCTAGTCCCAAAGAATCCTATTGTAAAAAAAGGAAGAAAATAAATTATATGAAATGTAGCACTTTATAAAAAAAATAAATCTTGTGAATGTTAACTGTTCCCTTCCAGCAATACCAACGTCTACATGCTGAAATTAATTTTAGTTCAAATTAAAATCATGAGATCTATTTCTGCTTTTAACTTGGGAAGGTGATTTCAGATGACATTACTACTATTGTGCATGCTGAAGTCTACTGCATATTTAAAACACTGTTGCTTAAATTAGAAACAAACCACTACACACCGTTGTTCCTTGCAAAGTGGTGGGCAGGCTGCCAGTGGGAACAATATGGCTGAGCTTCCGGCTTCCCTTCTCATCCTCTTCCAGTGGTCCGTAAGTACTGACACTTCTTGCTACAGCGTGACTGGGACACTCTGACCCAGCAATATTTTGTCTTCTTCCTGAAGGGATTTGGATACTTCTGGCACAAGAGTTGTCCTGCTGCTTAGATTTGCTGGAAAAGATATAGTTACAAACAAGACCAGCTTTCACATTGTTCTTTGAGTGTTCATACAGACTGGGAGTTAAATAGGCAAAGATGTAAAACAAAAACCTAACTGGCCCACTACTCATTGGATCTTGACCCTCATTATGACTGAGAACCCCAGGCCCAAAGTGGCACCTCAGACTCCACCCAGCCAACCACACTGCCCATGTCACAGGGAAGAGACTCTCTCCTTGCAAAGAACAGAAACACCATAAGAAGAAATATGCTTTTTGTACAGCAACATGGTGTGAGAAAACCATGATGGACACGGGCCCCAGTCAGGGACTACAGCCAATGCTGCAGGATTATGGATGTGTTGTCAGTGACTTTCTGCTATAGGGAGGGAATGGAAACAGTTAACCCAGCTAATCTGCCAAATGTCCAGCTCGCACGGGGCAGCGAGGAATAGTATGGAGGTCTTCATGTTAAACAGTCTTTTCTTATATCTTTTCACATTTTAATCTTTGTAATGCAATATCTTTCCATTAGTTATGAACTTATACATGCCCCCGAATTATCTCAGGTAAAGTATCAGTCAATAGAAAATGCACATTTACCATTTTGAAATAAAATCATCTTGAACAGGCATTACAGATGTAGCAAGACATGATGTGGGAGTAGAGATACAGGACTTTCCTGTCTGATTTGAAAAAGGTGAGGGAAGCTGCATATTCTCTGTAGATGGACTGGACTTCAGAAAGTACCTATGAGGAAATGAAGGGTTAATGTAATGTAAGAAAGTCTTAAAAAAATTAAAATTTGAGCATATAAAACCTTGAGCGAGAAATCATATAATAAATTACCGCCCAGGTCGCCGCAGATCTCGGATTTCAATATTCAAAAAGGGCAGGAATAGGTTGCCACAGAAGGGACATGTGGTATTGAGATTTGAATCATCTGCAGTCCATCCTGCCATGATTTCTTCATCATGAACCAGACAGTCACAAGTTCGACATCGCGAACAGCTTGAGATGAGTACCTGTATATAGTACTTAATTAAGAGGAGTTCTATAGGGGCTTCAGAACCTCTTTGCTCTTTGTTACAAAGAAAATGCATAGACGAGAACAACAGACTAAGGCCAAGATGTTCATGCTTAGGTGCCAAAAAGCTTAGTACCTAAATAAAGTAATTGCCTAACTTTAAACACTCAAGATTGAACTTTTTGGCCTGAATTTATGTATTTCAATACATCAATAGTAAGCTTCAATCCAAAGTACATTAGTGTTTAGTCGATGCTTCCATGGACCCATCCGTGTCATAGGGTGAAACAGAAGTGAATGATGGAGAGAATGAGATCTCTCAGAGGAATTAATTACCTGCAAGAATGAGTTTGTGAAGACTCAGATCTACTGTAATGTAAACAGATCAGGGGCTAATATAAACAGATTAGGGACTGAATTAATTTGCTCATGCAGTACACAAATACATTGTAGCTGAATTGGTTGGCTTCCCTTCTGACTGGTCTACCAGGATAGCTCAAACCTTACAAACACTGATGTATCTAGAATAATAATGTGGGCTTTATCATCAGTTTGCCAAAGGGACATTGTAAGTTGTTTAGGCCTAAAAGGTAGGATTTGTTAACCAAACCAGAAACCCAAACACCCTAATAGTAGACAAGTTATTTTAATTAATTTAAACAAAATAAATAATTGCTTGAATTTAAGCACTCCTCTGTAATGATGGTTAGTCCAGGAGAACTAAAATCTAATTGAACAGAGAAAAGGAACTAGCCTAGTTTCATTGTCCAAATTCAGTAAAATGCAAAAAGTACATAAACAGCATTAGAGGTAAAAATAAATCACATCTTAAATATTCTTTCAACATCAATAAGGAGAAGTTACTGATCTCAAAGAACTCCAGTTACTGAAGGGATTATTGGCCACGTGGATCCTACTGTACGTGTGTGCACACATCTGTACAAACCTGGAACATTTTAGCCAGCAGAGTATGTGGGGGCTGCACTTGCTCTCTGCACATCCTTGTGCCCCAAGGTATAAATGGTGCATCAGCCTTAATTACCACTCAGTTCCTTCACTCATACAGAAATCCAAATAAAGGCCCCATATCAGTGGGGAAGGAGGGTGGGTGGGTTGTGAAATCTGCACAGACTAAAAGCCTCTCAAAGAACTCCAGTTACTGTAAGGGAAGTAACTATCTTCTTTGAGCATCTGTCCACAAAGATCGCATGGTAAGTGACTGACTAGCAGTTACCTCTCAGAGAGGTGGGTGACAGGAGTCCTATCTAAATAACAACTTTAGGACAACCCTGCCAAATAGATCTAGAAGCTGACACAATGGATCAGTGTTTGGTAAATGTATGAACTAAATTCCAAGTAGTCATCCCACAGATCTGAGAAATAGGGTCTCCCCTAAAGCAAGCTACAGATGTCAACTGAGCCCCAGTAAAGCGTGCCCTAACTCAAGAGGAAGGAGGTGTGAATGAGTAGGAAATCTTAGACACTTTGGGCAGTGGGTGGTGACAAACTACCATGGGCAGTGAAAAGGAACCGAATGGCCGAATTCGCCTTCATACCCTTCCTACAGGATGTGCGAGGGTGGGAAGGATGTGTGTGCAGCTCCAATAGGCACTGCTGGCTAAAAGGTTCCAGGCTCATGTGCATGGGGCCTACACACCCACAGCAGGTTCTGTGTGGACAAAGACCCAAGGAAGAAACTAAAATTAATCACAGTTACCATTTAAAAAAAAAGTATAATTTTTAAATTGACAGAGTTGCTTAAGATGTGTTACTATTTCTTGTAGATTTCCAAATCCCATGGCAACGAATTTCCTCAGGATCCGTTGAAAATCCCAGCCTTATTCTAAACTAAGGGATTGCAAGAATAATCAAGACAGTTTTAGAGCAGGAGCATTTACCTATTTACTGATTTCTACTATACTGACTTTTTAACTTGCAGTTTTAACTGAGTTTAAAGTGGCATTTCATTGTTACTTGGAATATGTTCTTTGGTCTTTATTTGGAATATGTTTAAGAAATACATGAAGAAATTATTTCTTTTCTATCCAAACGAAGATGCTATAGCAAGACATATCATACTATACCTCCATAGCATAGTTCTGAAACACACTGGTGCTACTTGTGCTGCAAGAAGACATCAACTCTGATTTGTCAGGCAAGGGGAACTTTGAAAGGGAACCTATTAATTGATGATAAACAAATAAAAGGAAGTATTTGTTACTACAGAATATAAATTTACAGTAGAATCTAGATTGGTCTTTGACCAAGTGACTTTACAGAGTAAAGTATATTTAGGGAGTTACAGCAGGTCAGTTGTTATGCTGGAGATGCCCTGGAACAGAATGAGTTGCTAAGACAGGGCCTAAGGCTGCTGCCTGGTGCCAACAACAGGGATAGCAGTGAGCTGCCAAGCATGGAAACCCAGTATATGTAGATTCTGTGCAAGGAGCATGCTTATAGCTAGGAACAGGTTCTGATGAAGCAATTCATATGGTTCCTGCATGAATCAAAGCTAAGGAGGGATGAAAGATTCTGCTACAGAAGCAGCTAGACAGAACCACCATTATAGATGGGGAAAAATGAAGTACAGGTGGTTAAAATCTCTCTCATACCAAACAAACGGGGAAAAAAAATACTGATAATTCACTAAGGGATAACTTGACAATTACTAATGACAATGTACGTGTGCATGCTTTCACGTGCACATACAGGAAAGAGAGAGTGGGAAGAGGTTTCAATTGTTTTGGTCCAAATGCATTTTCTTTCAATTCTTACTAAAAAAGCCCAGCACGGTCACCCCTAATAGAACTCAAATAACCCCTCAGAGTATGCCATACAGCTTTCACCTCCCCCAGCCTTGGTATGCCTGTCCTCCATGCACAGACTCTACTCCAAACAAACAGTTACCGTGCTGAACTCCTTCCCTCTTAAACAAGAAATTAATTCTTGCTATAAACCCATTTCCCTTCCATGCTCCAGTCCCCTAACTTGCCCCATATTCACACACCACCACTCCAGAAACACTCCCACTCCAGCAGCAGAACTGAAATTCTGTCCCCTGGGTCCATTCCTGTGAAACCAGCAGCAGGGCTCCGTGAAAGATATTTGAAGTTCTCCTACTGTCTGCTCTCCAGAGACACACAGACATTTCTCACCAGAAGGGGTTAAATGAATGGAATTTGTTTTTTGCAGGAAAAAAAATGGTAATACTAAATGATTTGCTCAACATCAGACAGTCTGTGGCATGGCCCCAAAGAGAACTAGCTCTCCAGACTCCCAGTCCCATACTTTCCTCACTAAACCATGCTTCCTCTCAATTTGGTTGTGGTTAAAATGGGTACTCTATCATGATATTTATGCAGAAATCTGTATGCAACACAAAAAACCAACCATTTAATCTCCTCTAAAGATTAGAGACAATTCAGTAAAATGCCTGTCTTGCTCTCTACACGGAAACACGTTACTTTTATTAAGAATTTGTATTATTGCTATTAAGAAAAACAAAAAAGCCAGGAACAATAAAATGAGCTACCAAACAACAAGCCTTGTTAAAGACATTTGCAGGTTATATAACCCTCTCTTAGCCGAAAAGTGCAGTTGTCTCTGTTAGCCATTGAAGATATTGGAGCCATACAAGATCAACTCCAGGAACAATGAGATGGAATACAGAGGTTCCTGAGAATATCATTATTATTATTACTATTTGTACTCCCCAGTCATGGATCAGAACCCCATTGTACTAGGGGCTGCGTAAACACGGAACAAAAAGATGGTCCCTTTCCCAAGGAGCTGCAGTACGAATACACACACGGGTGAGGACATGTATGCAAATTACTACCTCGCTGCATGCGTTTGCTTCCCCTCACAAAAAGGGCTAATGTATCTATTGTGATCCCAAATTATGAACTAAAATTATGAAGAGATGCCACAGCTTTCAACACTATAGTTTTGAGCAAGGGATTGCAAATTTAATGAAAATATAAAAAAACCTCTTACCACAGTGATAGAATTGCTTGGATGAGCCATCATGAGAAGCTGAACTTTCTAGGCTTGTCCTACTTAGACCAATTCCCTTAATTACCGAGGTGTCATTGTTCTCTTGAGGAGAAGAAGTACCTTCAAAGTCATTGCAGACATCTTCATCAGTTAGAGAGGTAGATTCTGAATCCAGAATTCCAAGAGATGAAACACTTGCTCGGTCTGAATTTTGATCCTACAAAGAAACAGTGATATTGTTATTTTCTATGCTCAGAAAATTAAAGGCAAATGGAAATATTTCTGAAAGATAAAAATGTTATTTTTATTTTATTATGAGAAGTTGGACACCCAAGTATTTCTCCCTGATAGACAATTCACCTCAGATTTGTATTGAGAACCTGTATCTGTATAAAAGATAAGTCAGTCTTTATTCAGTAGATCTCTATGGGCTCCTTTTTAAAAATTCCTTGGTTTAGATCCCCAACATGCACTGGGAGCCTGTCTACACTAGCATTTCCACTGTTTCTATGACTGATACAAGTTGAACCAGTGGCAGCGTCGGTGGGAATTCAAACAAAACAATTCTAATGCAGACACAGCTTTAGATCAGCTAATCACTGAATATAAGAGGACTTCCATTTTTCAAATTAACGCTGGAACAATTTTTCTTCAAATTGTTTCTCTTTAAAGACAGACAGAAGTGTCTGTTAAACGGATATATACAAAAAGATATTTGCTACACAAAAAATACTGCATCATTCAGACTATTTGAAAAAACATTTTCCCAAGGGCACAATAGTTCAGATAGTTTATATAAAAAGGAAAGGGTCTAGTAGCTGTAATACTGTACATACACGAAATGTACATTTCAAAGTTAAGTTGCATTTATCTGAGTATTTCTCGCTTATGATGGACAAGCTTTCATTTACTTCTCTAAAGTGAAGACCAAAGAATCTTTTCCTAGTCTGAGTAACCACTATTCTGCTCCATAAAGACATATGTTAAATAAAAGCTGCATGTATTCTAGTCTGGTACTGGAAAACACACACATCTAGTTCCCAAATATCATTAGTAAAAGATTTACACTACAGAGGAAAAATATCTGTTGGGAGCAATAACCACCAAGAATTTTTCTGTGCTTGTGCCAGCTAAGCCTAACTGAAAATGCTCAAGAATCCTCTATTATTCTTCACATTACATTCCCCCTCATATGCCAAGCAACCCACTTAAAGACACCATGCTGGTAGCTGAACGAATAAGATGCCCTTCCAAATCCATCAGTCTTGCTTCCTAATTGACAAGAGTTATCTAATCTGCTCCTGCTCCAGGGCGCAACATGCTATCTGTATTGCATCCCCAGAAACTTCTGGTGCAGGAAGTGAGAAACTAGTACTGCTAATACTATAATTACTTGAATACACACTGAATCTGTAGTTGCTGTTGACTTTCTTGTCAAACTTTCTAGGACCTTCAATTGCTTTGAAAATGTCAATCACTGCATTTAATTGAATAATGGTCTGATCCAGTACAATAAATCAGGTTCTGGCAAATCCCATTTCATCACTAATGGATGTTGTGCATATACTCTGCCTTGATGTATGTCAGCCAACTAGACCTTTTCCATACACAAGATTCAGTGTTTCAGGCTCTACAGAATTATGTCCTTTCTTCATAGAAATGTATCTTTTGAAAAATCTCAAAGTAATTGTGAAAGTTTACCTTTGAGGATGCAGCATACATAGTAAACTTTGAATACCACTTGCTAGCCTTCTCTGCAACGCCTTTCCCAGCAGAAAACATGCTGCTTTTCAGAACATCAAATGTAGGTGTTAATAGTGTATCTAAGTTGAACGAAGGTGAAGACACTAGAGTTAATGCACCAGCCATGTCCTGCGACTGTTCCCTCGCTGGACTGTAAGATGGAGAGGACCAAAGCCTGTCCCTTGGCCTTTCTTCATTTTTTATGTGATAACTTTTGGATTTGATAAGACTCACTGGCCTGGGGGAATATGGGGGAAGGCTGGATCTTCTGCATGGCTGGGTGACTGTTGGACTCTTTTTACTAACATTTCTGTCATCGTATGTTTTTTGCAAGTCAATGCTTGGTGCACGGCTTGTCAAAGGGCTGCTCATGTTGTTCATGTACATCACTATTTCTTCAGCTAAATCTCGCCTTGCAGATGGCGTTGAAACACTTTTGTCATCATCGTCTTCATCATCTTCTTTCCGTTGTTCTGTCTCAGCAACCAGCAGCGAGAGGGGATCAAATCCAGTTTCCACATCTGTTTTTTCAACTGGTTTTATTAGAAAGCTGCTATTACGCTGTAACATCTTAGGCTTTTCATTAGACGACTTTACTGTTTTAGCTGTGTCAGGTTCAGCATCTAAGTCTTCTAAATCAAAGATAACAGGAGACTCTGTTTTATCTACAAAACTGCCATAGAAAGGTGCATCTTCATCACTAGATTCCTTCTCCATACTCTCTCTCTTAGACCCTAAAGATGACTTCCTGATGTCAAGACTATTCGGCCTTATGCTCTTCTGGAATACATTAGACAGTATTTTTGCATCAGCTCCTAATTTTTCCACAATGTCTCCAGGGCTTGCATTCTGGTTAATTCTATTTATCATGAGCCCCATCAGGGCATCTCCACTCAGATTACGGCTCCTGCTTCCCCATGCCATCTGTTTTAGGTCAGGTTCCACAGCACTTTTATGTCTCTTTCTTAAGGTTTTACTTTGCAGAACTCCTGCTTCATTGGTATCCTCAAAAGCGGATGTGAAAAGCAGCCCTGCTGGGCTTTCTGAAAAACAAAAATGAGTTATTTTACTTTTGTCAAACAACAAGAAATAAAAAAAAAGTCACCATTAGCAAAAAAACTAGAATGTAGATCTGCTTAATCTTTCAAACTGGTAATAGTATCAGCTTGTGGATACTACAGCTGGGTTGGCTTGACTGCACAGATGTCCAGAGATATTCAGGGAAATCCTGCACATCACTGGGTACACCCATGTGGTGGTCAGCTTCTTTGTGCCACTGCCTGGGCTTCCCCCCACTTGGCAATAAGGCTCCTTCAGGTGTTGTACAGCCATTGCCTCCCTTCGAACAACAATCCCTCCCCTCTAAGTTAGGGGATATTGGGGAATGAGGGAAGGGAAGCAAAATCATGGAGTGGCTAATATGGTACTTGATTATTAAAGAATTAAAGGAGGGTACTGTAATTAATGCAAAATCAACATGGGTTTATGGAAACTAGATCCTGTCAAACAAACTCGTTATATTTTTGGATGAGATTACCATTTTGGTTGATAAAGGTAGTAGTATTGATGTAATCGATTTAGATTTCTCTAAGACTTGGTATAATACAAAATTTTGATTAAAAAGCTAGAATAATATAAAATTGACATGCACACATTAACTGGATTAAAAACTGGCTAACTGATAGGTCTCAAAATGTCATTGTAAACGGGGAATTGTCATTGAGTGGGTATGTTGTCCAGTGGGGCCCTATGACATTCAACATTTTTACCAATGACCTGGATGAAAACATAAAATCTTCACTGATAATTTTGCAGATGACACAAAAATTGGGGGAAATGGTAAATAATGAAGACAGGTTACTGATTCAGAATGATCTTGACTGCTTGGTAAACTGCACAAGCAAACAATATGCTTTTTAATACACCTAAATGTAAACGTAGATACATGTGGGAACAAAGAATGTAGGCTGTACTTACTGGAAGGGGGACTCTATCCTGGCAAGTGGTGACTGCCAAAAAGTTTTGGGGGTTGTGGTGGATACTCAGCTGAACATGAGCTCCCAGGGTGACCCTTTGCCCAGAAGACCTAATGTGATCCTGGGGTGCATTAAGAGGGGAAGTAGAGAGGTATTTTACTTCTATATTTGGCAACGGTCCGAATGCTGCAGGAATACTGGGTCCAGTTTTGGTGCCCACAGTTCAAGAAGAATGTTGATAAATTGGAGAAGGCTCAGAGAAGAGTCATGAGAATGATTAAAGGATTAGAAAATATGTCTCATAGTAATAGACTCACAGACCTCAGTCTATTTAGCTTCACAAAGAGAAGGTTAAGGGCTTACAGTATCTACATGGGAAACAAATAGGCTCTTCAATCTAGCAGAGAAAATGTATAACATGATCCAATGGCTCAAAGTTGAAACTTGGCAAATGCTGACTGGAAAAAAAAGGCATGAATTTTTAAGGGTGAGTAATTAACCACTGGAACGATTTACTAAGGATTGTGGTGGAGTCTCCATTACTCACAATTTTAAAATCAAGACAATGTTTTTCTAAAAGATCTGCTCTAGGAATTTTTTGGGGGAAATTCTATAGCCTGTGTTATACTGGAAGTCAGACCGGATGGTTACAATGGTCCCCCCTTCTGGCCTTGGAATCTGTGAAGGGGAGAAAAGGGGAGCTCTCCCTCTAATTTTAGCAGGAAGAGGAAGGGAAGGAGTTATGCTCCCCAGAAGAACGCACACAGCTTCCCTCATACTCTCTAACCCCTGGATGTCAATACACCGTAAAAGGGATTGAAATCTGAACTGAAAGAGGGATGCCCATAAAATGATTTTTAGAAAAACAGCAGCATCTGTCAGAGGGCCTCTAAGTCACAGCATCCAAGCGTATTCTGAAAGCAGCAGCAAGAAATTTCAGGCTCGTTAAATTAGGTTCCCATTTTACGGAAATGGTTATTCACTAATAAGAGGTGTAATAGCCGGGGTCAACAAACAGAACCGTTTCTGAGGACAAAAACCAACATTTTTTAATGTGATTAACTAGAGCCAAAGAAAGAAGTCTGAATGTAAGAGCAGACTCCTTAGTTTTGTCACTACATTAGAATCCACAGACCTGAAAACATGACACATCACACTATTTCAACCATAGCTGACAGTGTTAGAATAATTAGACTTCACATTACTAAAGGGCATGTAAAAACAGTTGGAAGCGTCATTTAATTATACTGGTTTGACACCTCTACTATGACCTGCAGGAATTTGATACTTGCAGGAGGTCACATGTGAGAGACAGAAGAAAATGCCACATGTAGAGTTTTGGGTGTTTGGGAGCACATGCAGAAACACGAACAGAAAAGTCAAGAAAAGAAAATTCTGGAAATCCAGCCACAATATTCACAAAGTTGTCTCCTTGATACAAGCACTTACAGACGATAGACCCAATCTAACTCATACTGACATTACTGAAAAGAGTTTCATTTACATCATCTGCCATTTTTTTTTTTTTAAATACAAGTGGTGGAGGCTGCAGAGTTGCTGCTATGATTCAAGACAAGAGTTCAGGTACAAACCCAGCACTTTTACTTTTCAGACTAACGAAGAATACACGTGTCATGACGGTAACATAGGTGATGTGTAGACGAAACAAAGACCCTCATGGTCCAAGCCCAAAGCAGCATTATCGTGACTTTGGAGAGCAGTATACAATTATGTACAAGTCAGTTGCTGTAATAGCAGCCAGCAACTTTGGTGGTTAAGGGGAGAAAAAAAGGAAACAGAAACTAAAACCAGCACAAACATAAAAAGCTGGCCCAGAGAAAAGAGAATTGTTTAAGCGCCAATAGTTTTCTCCCTATCACCATATTGGCGTACACAAAAACTAAAACCTAGCAGAGACGCAGCTCCATGACAAATAATGCAAGTTATGCTCTGATTTAAAAAAACAAAACAAAAACCCCAATTACCGTTAAATAAAGATGAAGTACAACTATTAACTCACCAGTGCTGACTTCCCCAGCTGTACTGTCAGCATTATCAATGGTACCATTGAGTCGTACTATGTTAGAAGTGGCTTTTGCTACTTGAATTGAAGTACTACTTGAATTTTGATAATTTAGCTTGGGAAGACAGTCACCACTTCCTTTTGCACTCTCTGTTTCAGACACTGTGTGCATAAAAGAATACATGAAAAATTTCATTAGGACTGAGGTAACACGTAGAACAAGTTTCAAATTCCCATTATCTATAGGCAATCTTTTTTTACAGGATTAGTTAAGAAACTGAATGACAGCATGTGGTGATACTGATCAATTATACCAAAAGTAAGCTGAGATGTTCTAGTCTGAGACATCCCCCGTGGCAATATTAGCAAAGATTACTGCACCAAAGAATGGCTAACTGAATTGTTAAATGATACACTTCTAGAAGAGCTCAGTGGAGAAAACAGCATCCAAATATAAATTTGTAATCTTCAAGATTCCAAAATGCAACGATATTATAATGCTACTAGGAGAAACTCTATGGCTTGTGTTAGGCAGGAGGTCAGACTAGACGATCAGAATGGTCCCTTATGGCCTTAAGATCTATGAATATGAAATGAGACTTTCTAGTGACCAACTACAGTCTCTCTTTCTAAATATAATTTTATACAATTTTCTAAATGAGTGTTGCTGTTTTTTTAAAAAGAACAACAAACTTTTAGAACATTAGATCTCACAACAGCAATAAAATTTTGATGTCAGATTTATTGAACTTGCAACTTACATTTGAATGCTGCAATATTACATGTTTCATCTCAGTGGAACCAATTACATATACTATTAAGTAATGCTTAATTTAAACTAACTCGCATTTTGTTTCAAGGAAAACAAATACAAAAGAGGTTCCAATACGACCTCACTCTGCAAAAACAGGAAAACACCTATTAACCTAGGGCAACTGATAATAATTCAGTGAACATTTCCACTAAAAGCAGTAGTTAACAATATATTTGTCCAAAATATATTTAGTTGTAAGAGCATTAGGGCCTGATTTTCAGAACTCCTGAGCACCTACAATCCAAATTTAAGTCAAAGGGAGCTACAGAGGTTTAATCACCACTAAAAGGGCATGTCTACACCACAAATTAAGATGTGACTGTGGTGTAGGTAGGCCTACCCACACTAGCTTTAATCTAGCTAATGAGGGTAGTAACGGTAGTGAAAATGCAGTGACACTGGCTTCAGCACAGACTAGCCAGTCATGTACAAGCCCACCTGGCACCTGGGGTACTTACTCTGATTGCTAGACTGTATCAGTATTCTTATTTTCACTTTTCAGGATAAACAAAGTTACTCTGATATATTCATCAGAAAAAATTGAAATGTCTTCTTACTTAATTAGCTCTGAAAGTTGAGTTACAAATCCTTGGAAGTTTTCCAGGTGCAGACACTAAGTCTCGAGCAAAACAGCAAGATTTTACTTTTATTCATTTTTGGGTTAGGTAACATAAAACTGATTTGTCCACAAGAGATTTTAAAATAATGTAAATTCAAAAGACTAGGAAATTAACCACTCGAAGAAGCTAAAAGATTTTGATGTTTCTGTGCTAGTGCACATTTGCTCCACTGAACATTTCATCTCGGTTTGTTTGATAATAAAAAGGGTTGACAAAGAAACAACACTGTTAAACAACAGTTGTCTCTCTCTTCCATTCCCCTCCACACACAGAGTCAGAGAAACCAGGTTTTGTGTGATGGAATAAATGGTGTTTGGGGAGGGTAAAATGGAATTCATCCATTCAATCCAAAGAGAGGCTTAGGAGCCAGAATACAGGCTGCTACCCTTTCATATCTTTGCGCCACTGGATCTGCCTCAATGCAGATCCAGCTACACCCAATGTCCCTCGAGAGGTAACTAATGCCAGATCTATGCTAGAAAGTTAGGTCGACCCAGCTACATCACTCAAGACAGGCCTGTGAAAAATCCACACCCCTGAGCGATAGAGTTAAGCCAACCTAATGCCTGGTGTAGAAACTGCTAGGTCGACAGAAGAATTCTTCCGTCAACCTAGTTATGTCCTCTCAAGGAGGTGGACTAACTACAGAGAGGAGAACCTCTCCCATCACTGTAGTGAGTGAGTGTCTACACTGAAGGGCTACAAGCAGTATAGCTGTGCCATGCAACATTTCCACTGAACACAAAGCCTAAGCAAATATGTAATGCTGCAGTACTTACAAGCACAGAATCTGTATTTGTTTTAGAACTGATTTTTCCAAAAAGATGCATCATAATTAAATGCACAGAGCAGGCAACTGCACATCTAACCAGGAGCTCAAGTACACGGGCATGCAACTGATCATTTTCAAGTGCAAAACATTTTCAGCAAAGCTAGTGGTGATATTATGTTTCTAAAACTAATGTAAGTGATGAACTTCAGGTGACACACCTTAACTGTGCATTTTCATAGCTGGCATTTCTGTTTTGTTTTTTCTGAAATTCAGTCTTAACTCAGAATTTCCTGGATGTCTATGCTTTGGCTTTTAAAAATACAACACTTTTAATTTTTCTCTTTAAGTAACTGATCTTTCCTTTAACTTAATTTCAGCTTAAATGTTTTTTATTTAAAAAACATAAGGAATTGCTCTATAACAAGAGGTCTTGCTTCATTTGGACCTTCACCTCCCCCGATCCTGTGAATGATCAGTAGAAGAGAGTCCCTGAGTTCACCACTTGAGCGCTTTCTAGGAGATATAAGATGGCAATGAGAAAGCATCTTGTGATGGAGGGTTTCAGAAATCCCCTCCTTGGAATCCTCTCTGAGTCTGGAGGACACACAAAAAAGGATTAATGTCTTCTCATATGTATATGTGGATAAGCGGGGGGTCTCTAGAGCTTGCAAACTGGATAGGTATTCCTGCAGTGATTATGAAGTATGCATGGACTCCTGCAAAGAATGCAAGTTCTGTTCTTTACAAGCCCTCTTGCAAGCTCTGCAAGAAATCCTGTGGACCTTACTTCTGGCTTGACATTTGCTGCTTAGGAATCATGCAGCCTTTACTTATGAGCTATCTAAACAACACAAGGCACTGACAGACGCACGTAACAGATCAGGATACATTATCCAAAACAAGTACAAGCTGACGTGATGGACAGAACATACATTAAAAGTGCTGTTAATAAAATAATAATTCACTTTAAAATTAGTCAAAGGTACTCAGTAGGGACAACATATTAAACTAAGTCCAGAGTCTGTAGGCCTAGCTGAGTTATGATGTTACTAAATAATTAGAAAACATGCAAGAAGTGAGATCACCTTGGTATTTTGGGACCCCATCTCTCTAAACCCTTTGCCCAATTTGCGTGAACATTGCCATATAAGTACTACCCTGGTTTATAAAATATTAGGCCAATTCCTTTAGGTTTGATGAAAGTATGCAGATGGAGAGGAACAGCAAAACTGTACTTACTACAGAGGGGACTAGCAGGCTCTCCACAATGCATCCCCCTACTGGATATCAAAGCATCACCATTTATACACAATGAACTGGACATCAATATTTATAAAATACATACAAGAACTGGAATCACTCTCTCTCTTGTCCTCTTTTTGTTTTTTTATATCTTGAACAGATGCTTCCCCTTGCCCAAATTCTTCTTTAGATAACAAGTTACTGCCAAGATCTGAAAGTCCCCCTATTGTAACAGGAGAATTGACAGGATAAGAAAATTAACTCTATATTTCCATACAATGAAATACTGTGTAATAGAACAAATGAAATCTCCATAATACAATAATTTCTTTTACTAGGTAAATTCCAGCTAAAAATATTGAACACTTTACCACATAAAAATTGCCATAGAATGCCAGGACAAGAATAGATTAATTTAATACAACACTGGTGCCACCAAATGTACATAAAAATTCTGGCCCCCAGGGTGTTTAGAGGGTCCAGGCTGTGTAGGTGAGTGGGAAGAAGAGGGGCAACGCTGACTGAAGCTACTGTTCCTTCTTCTTACAGAACCTTGGCGGGGCTGCCAAGGTCCTGGTGGCGGGGACAGCCGGAAGGGCTTCCGAGCAGGCTGCGGCATATGTATGCCAACGAAGGGTGGTCTTCGTATCCTTCACCCCATACAGCCTGGCATCCGTCTGCTTGGAGAAAAGACGGACCACGTCGAAAGGGAGGTCTTGGATTGAAGTCTGCATCTCCTGCGAGGCCCGCCGTTTGTAGCCACAAGCTACATACCTCATCACCACTGCTGACGCAACTACCCGCGCCGCAGAGTTTGCTGCATTTGTAGGGAGCACATGGCTACCGCCGTGCCTTCCTCAACCAGGGTGCTGAATTCCTGGGCTAACCCCTGTGGGAGGGACTCCTGGAACCTGCAGAGGGTATCTCACAAATTAAAGTTGTAACTTCCCAGGAGAGCTTGGTGGTTTGCCACCCGGAATTGTAGGCTGGCAGTTGAATACATCTCCCAAAGAGATGCAGCCTTTTGGCTTCTTTATTCTTAGGAGTGGAGGAGGTATGGAGCTGTTTGTCCTTTTCGTTGGCCGTGGAGACGACCAACAAGCCCGGGGGCAGGTGGATATATAAATACTTGAACTCTTTAGCTGGAACAAAGTATTTTTTCTCCCCCCTTTTGGAAGTGGGAGGGACAGACAAGGGGGTTTGCCACAGGGCATTGGCAATCTTTCAGACTCCTTTGTGGACTGGCAAGGCCAGGCGAGCCGGGGTGGAAGAGGAGAGGACATTGAACAATGAGTCCATCTGCTCGGCCATCTCCTCCTTCTCTAAGCCCAGATTGTCTGCCAGCTTCCGGAGCAGAGCCTGATGCTCCTTAAAATCATTAGGCAGGCTAGCCCTTGAAGGACCCATCTCTGCTTCGTCTGGGGATGACGAGGATGCCCGAGTTACTGGAGCGAGGTCCATGGCTTCTTCCCCCCAGAGGGAGGTAGGTTTCGGGGTAGATACTGCTTCCTCAACCCCAGCCTCCGAGCGATCGTCACGCACTGAGCCTGGTGCCATTGGTATCCCCGGTGTCACTGGTGCTGCTGCATCAGAGCGCTGTTTCGCCTCCTAGGATCAACCGTATTCTCTGCTATTCCCCCCGAAGCCACAGCAGCTGGCTTGCCTTCCTGGGGAGTCTTTGCCACTTCCTGTTGCCCCAGCTGCGCCATGGTACTGGTGGAGGTCTCTGCTCCCTTTGCACTGGGAAGGCTTGGGCAGGCGCCGGGGATAATGGAAGCTTGGGTCCCAAACCGCTCTCTTGAGTCGGTGATGGACCTTTTGAGGGGCTCAGAATTTCCGCCGGAGAGGCGCGCCCTCACGGCTCCGGGGTGGCTGGGCGGGCCGAACCAGGTTCTTTGTCCAAACGCCCTCGGGCCTTTTTGCCTGGTGCCGGTGAGCCGTGGTTCAGGGCCTTCTTAGGCACCGGGGAATTTGAATGGTGCTGGGCAGAGCCCGTTGCTGGGGGTGCGCTATGCACGGATGCCGAGGTACTCGCCGACTCCTGGTGGCAGGGCTTGGACGCCGGGCAAAGGGCCGACTCCATGAGAAGGGCTTAGAGTCTAATATCCAGCTCTTTCTGAGTTCATGGCTGAAAGTGCTTACAACTACGGCACTCCTCCTTGACATGCAATTCGCCCAAGAACTTGAGACAGCTGCCGTGGGGATCACTAACAAGAATAGACCTGCTACAGTCCGTGCAAGGTTTGAACCCAAGGGATTGGGACATGCCCTTCCTTGGGCAAAGTCTCACTAGGTACTCTATCAACTAACTACAACTATCTTACTACAAGAAACAATTAAAACCCAAGGCTGAAGAGCTCTTAACGAAGCAAGAGCAACCGCTAACCACTTGCGAAGTAAGGGAGAGAGGCACTCTGACTAACCACCATGGGTGGTAAGAAGGAACTGAGAGGGTGCAGGGATGGTGGCGCCTGATATACCACACCATGAGCATGGCACCCCAGGGGGCGCCCTGGCTGTCCCCATGGATACCGCTAAGGCAAAAGTCTCCAACAACTACGCACATGGGATCGCGCATACCTACATTGGAATTGATATGAGCAAGCACTCGAAGAATAGTAATTTTTTTTTTAAAGATGAAATGTAAAAGTCTCCTGGTTTTGTTTTTTAAAATAATGCAGAATCAATTGAGATCTTCTTTACATGAAAAGTCTTTAATCAGCAATACCCAGTAAAATCATGTGAAAGCCCACAGAGTTACTTGGCAATTCTTGATAGGCATCACTGACAGGAGGATGACTAGTATAGCTCTGGCTGAATGAGTTAAAAAAACAAACAAGGGATAACATTTCAACACAGTTCTTCTACCGCCAGAAAGCTTGTCTTTCACCAACAGTAGTTGGTCCAATAAAAGATATTATCTCACCCATTTTTGTGTGTCTTACTTATGGAAAGAGATGCCATATACTAAATATAATAAGACACAATGAAAATCTAGTTATTAAAAATAAATCTTAATTTTAACGTGTGCCTTCATCCATAATTCTTTCATTACAATAATCAGTCCCATAAATGTCAAGGTCAGACATCAAATGAAATGAATGTGACAGTTTCAGTAGCACAGAGACCCTGAAATACTGGTCCAAGGTAGAGAGTGGGGCCCATAACATTTAAAATGAGGAGTCTCATGGACCATCAAGGCTCAAATCAAATACATCACCCTCTAGGGCTAGAAGCTCTGTGACAGACTTTTCAAAGCAATGGTCCTGGACCAGTGACTAATAAGAAAAAGAACTGATTCCTGGAAACGTTATCCAAGTGCTATGGTTTTCTAACATCACATGCTACTTGCAGAGCTGTTGTCTTTTTTTACTTAGAGTTGTAGGCAGTAACTAATGATTCATGCATTTTGAAAAGTTAAGGTACAGAACTGTAAAATATAACTGCTTTAATGACTCTTCAATACTTAGTTAAAACAACACATTTTACATTTAATATAATCCAAATACTCATACTGGATTTAACAGTGTAATTCCCCTCTACTAGGTAATGTATAAAGTTAAAAGCAAAACAATAGTAAATAAGACATCATGTCAGATGAAATAAAGTACAAAGAAAGCATGTATTAGCATAACCTTATATACAATATCTATTATACACACAAATCTATACCACAGTTATCAGCAGTGATACTTTGACTAAAAAAAAGTCAGTCACATAATAAAATACATGCTGCATTGAGAAGTGTCCTAGTAACATGAATGAAGTAAAAAGCAACAGAGGGTCCTGTGGCACCTTTGAGACTAACAGAAGTACTGGGAGAAGTTCTTCACTTCTGAAGAAGTGAGGTTCTTACCCACGAAAGCTTATGCTCCCAGTACTTCTGTTAGTCTCAAAGATGCCACAGGACCCTCTGTTGCTTTTTACAGATTCAGACTAACACGGGCTACCCCTCTGATACATGAATGAAGTAGACAGATGAGCATTTGGCATTTTAGTTGTAAGACAGAAAACAAATGTTTTTATTTAAAAATATTAACGCTAATGTAATTTTTATTAAATAACTAATAATATAGAAGTAATTCAATCCTTTGACAGATTTCTTTTTTAAATGCAATTTGCTCATCAATGTAAGTGTATATAAAAATGTATGAATACTCTACCGGAAAGAGCTGCTTGTGGTGTGTTGGCAGGTAGTTTTTTTAAAGCTTTTTTAAACTGCACTATTCCTAATACAACATTTCTGATCTTCGTCCATAGGAAATAGCCACTTCTACTACTTGAAGGCCAGGTGCTTTCCAAAACAGCCTGTTCAATGAATAAAGTCAGATTAAATGATTGTAAGAAGTCTTTGCTTTCTGTTACAGATTTGCTTAAGATATTCAAATGCAAGGATGTTCAAACAGTGGTTCATTGACTTAAATCAAACTGGCAAGAACCACGCTGCATTAATAAAGTAAATCTTAGAATGTAAAAAAAAAAGCGCAATTTTCTAACTTATTTCTATAAAAATGATTCCTTCAGTAATTTGTTTGCTATTTAATTATGTACAATGATAAGAATATATCAGCCTTCTTCCTGTCCTTGCCCAAAACACTTACCTTATTATAGTAACCATATGTAATGGCATTAGGGTCAATACCGGCTTTTTTCATTTCAAAAAGGACTCTCACTGCAAGCACAGGCTGGCCATATTGCCCACATAGCTGCATAAGCACCCGGTAACATACCTGAAAACAGACATTTTTAGTGTTTTATTTTATAAACCGAATTTACACAAAATTCAAAACAAAAAACCCAGGATTCACTTTTTTACCTCATCAGGGGGATCTATCTTTTTGGTATGCATTTTTCGCAGCACGTCATATGCAGTTCTCAGAGCCCTGACTTTTGAATGGCACACTTTCACATACGCAGGAAGGCAGATGAACCATAGGCCATAGCAGTGACGCAGCAAACACCTGGACCACATCTGAGGAATGGAGGAGTACCTCTTAGCTATCTTATGGGCTGACTTTATTTCCTGTAAAGAGGTATTCAGTTAGGATCTTTAATATACATATTTGATTTTTTAGAAATGAATCAGTTGCTCATAAAAGTGAGACCTTGCATGAGTGCTTTGAGATCTTTATGGGCAGAAGAAGTTTAGACACACTGAAATTGAAGCCAGAAGCTGGACTGACAGGCAGGAGAAGCATCACCACACAAGGGGCTCAGTTCTTATCTGAGATAAGCAGAGATGTGTCTTGTAGAATCAGCTCTTGTGGACTTAATAACTGCACACAAAAAAAGCGACTTACTTCTCAAAAGACTTTATACTAAATTACTGAAGCCTTTTGCTTGCATAAACAAATAGACTCTCCCCCATCTCGCTCTCTCTCTCTCACACACACACACACACACACACACACACACACACACACACGACGGTAG